ATAAAACTAGCTACCGCAATTTAATGAACAGTCAACGCCATCTCTCGGTGCGCAGTTCAAACTTTCAATTGTTTATAATCAGTGGATCAGTTTTTACTTATTTACACATGATATACTTGTATGGTGTCTTAATCGAGTTAATACGTATTAAATTTTGACTTATAAAATCTAGGTACTTTTTAAAATGTTGAGAATATCTGTCTATATTTTGTAGACATTCTGTTTACCAATATTCCAGATCATTGAATACTTCATGATTTTTGTAGACTACTGTTTTTTTGTGATTTGACTCATAGAGACTAGGATATCCTAAAACTATCGTAATTATTGATTCAAAGCGACTATTTTCAAATCGCACGAATGTTTCGTTCGATACGACGTTTGTACAGAAATATTGTGAATATGAAGATTCTAAACTAACATATTTTACCACTGAACGTTGCATAGCACGTGAATGGCATCTCTTTCTGACAAGCGCAATTTTACGTTGTACTGAAAGAGACAAAAACTAATAACACTGTTCTGTTTAAAGTGTAGGAAATATACTAAATCCCTTTCTCAGTGAACTACAGAAAAATATCATAAAAATCGGATCCACCTGATCAACCTACATCACAAATTGCGTCATTGGAACATGACTAATATGGAAAATAGTTTATTTAAAGTACTTTAAATATTATGAAACAATCATCATATTGTACAATGGTCATTTTAGATATATACGCTGCATTTATCATTTCAATTGATATTTGACAGAGTGATATAGCAATATATACGTTTAATATACAATTGGAACTCCTATTATTATTAATTACCTAATTTTCTCATAAATCACAATCGGTAACAATATTATAATCAAGTAATAACAGTCTAGAGATTTTATTTTCATATAATATAGCGGAATTCGTTTTTCTATACAAATATGTGGCGGGCCGCGTTATGGAACTCGCTGGCACATCTGGAAACCCATTGACAGGACATAGAAATATACCCCACATTTACTCAACACGTTCAACGTTTTTAATCGAGCAAGTAAATGCATATAACACCTATATACATCCTTGTGGGATACTAATTAGGAACATAATGAGAATGACGACGAAAATTGAAAAGATACTTAAGAACTCTACAGACAAAAAGTGGTTTCGATACATTTTTATAATCAACTGACATAGCCCAACGGATTAGCAAGCTGAAGTGGCAATTGGCAGGGCATATAGTACGCAGAACTGACGGCCGATGGGGCAGCAAGGTTCTGGAATGGAGGCCGCGTACCGGAAAACGCAGCGTGGGACGTCCACCTACAAGGTGGACTGACGACATCGTAAAGGTAGCAGGGAAGCGCTGGATGCAGGCTGCTACCAATCGATCAACATGGAAAGCATTAGGGGAGGCCTATGTTCAGCAGTGGACGTCCTATGGCTGAAATGATGATGATGATGATGATACATTTTTAATATGGGAGTCACTTTGGGACGCATCATTAGTGAAAGAAGGATATATCATAATATAACATCGAAATCTATGTATCAGCGAGCTAGGCAATTTGCATCATAAGTCTGTGAGCCTAAAAGGAGAAAAAGGTCAAAACTTTCATTGATTCTGTATAGGTAAATAACAGGAAAAATAACGGGCGTTAAGATTAGAGTATCGATTGTATTCGTGCGTCACTCTCGACTTTTCAAATGTTTCGATTGACAGAGAAATCAATTAAAACATTAAAAATAGGCAGCAATCGATCCATACAAGTCCTACTAATAGACGTTTCCTCAACATTGAATTCAACAACCATAGAACTCGCAATGCGCGTGCGCACCGCCTTTTGATTCCAAAAATAACGGGTTATTTCGAACTAAATATTATTATGAAGTATTATTAATTGCTGTATTACATAGATAAAGCACGAAATTGTATTATGTGCGAAACGTCTACTTTGGGACTCAGATTTGGAAAGATTGCTTGATAAAATTATCAAAAAAGATACCCGACTAGAGAAACTGTTTGACTGGGAATTCTGTTGCAAAAGTCATTAAGCTAAGGCTTGTAGCAACGCTCAAAAATCGCAAAGATTCTACGCTTACAATCTTGTCGAGTTAACTGCGCACCTGACGGTGTGACGTCATATCCACGCTCTGGTACGGACGGGGCAAACGCCGGAAGGTATGCGAGGGAGAGTCGCATTCTAGCGAGTTAGCTCGAACGGGTAGTAACTTTGAATCGAGATATTAATCGCATGATTACAGAATATGCCCCTCAATCAGGTTGTCAGCAACATCGAATTTGAGAGACTTGGTAATAAACGAAAATATCAAGTGATTTACTTTAGTGAGATTAATGAGCCGCACCGCACCGCCTACTAAATATCTCTGTTTTGCTCAAGGTCAGCTGGTAGAGAATGACGTATGGCATTAAGCTCGCCTTTTTGTACAGAACATTGTTGTGTGTGCAATAAAGTCTTTAAATAAATAAATAAATGAAAAAGAATATTTTCCAAAATTATGAACTAGCTAAATATTAACCAGTGATTGATACCCGGCTAATTTGAGTTTGACATACAGCGAAAGTATCCCTAGAATATGGCCCAGGGGGACTATTTTGAAACATTCACTTCCAAAACGCGTGCTATATCTCACAAATCTTTATACGATTAGTGCAATATCGTGCGCGATTCCGGTTTCGAATGCTCCACAAAGACCTCTTTTTAAAAGAGATGGAAATATTTTTTGTCGGGTACCGAATTTCTAAGATTCCTGTCTGGGTGTAGATTGTGCCTGTAGAGTCACAAGGACGTGTGTTGTCGGAATAAACTTATAAATGAATATATCACAACAGGGACAGTGAGGCGTCCCATGTGAGACCCATTTATAAATTGGTTACAGCTTTGCAAGACATTTATGTAATTGTAAAGATTTTGGATACTGGGGTCGTACAGTACATTCAGCGTCAAATAGTTCGTCACACCCAAAGTGGACAAAATGTTGACAACACAACCTTATTCCAATTGTAACAGAGATGTGTTGCGAAGTTTTTGGATACTTTTGGTGTCACCAAGTAGCTATTTGACTGTACATAAATAGTGGTAGATGATTGGAGAGATCTTAACCTATATTCGGTTAATATTTATAAGAGGCAAGTGAAATTTTAAATCCAGACTAGGTTGTAAAATGATGCAGAGAAACGAAAAACTTTCAAGCTAATGACCGTAGTGGATTGCCTGCTTTTTTAAGAGGGGTAGGTATTTTTATAATTACTGGCGCCAGACAAGATGGGGAGCGAAACTTTGTATCTGCCTACCTTGTCATCAAATAATGCCTGTTATTTTTCTTACAATTACACTCGCTTGCAAAGCCAGATTTCCCTACCTACGTCATTGGGCCCGCCACGTACAAAATTCGTACCCGCTTACAATAAATACATGACTAAGATCAGTCGACAGTTCGCCAGCACTGCTTATTCTATAAGGACACTTGGGCGCCGCAGCGCTTGGCACGAGGCATCCGGGACGCTTGGCAAAAGGCCTCTAAGCCACTTAGCAAAAGGCCTCAGGGCCAAATGGCACGAGAACCTCAGGCGCTTGGAATAAGGCCTCCTACCAGACCGCTTGGCAAGAGACCTCCTAGCTTCCGGGCAGCTTGGCAAGAAGCCTCCGGGCAGCTTGGCACGAAGTCCCCAAGCGCTTGGCAAGGGGCCTTCAGGCGCTTGACACGAGACCTCTAGGTCGCTTGGCAAGAGACCACGCCTCAGGGCAGCTTGGCAAGATGAAGAAGAAGCCCCCAGACCCTTGGTCAAGAGGCATCCATGCAGCTTGGCACGAGGCACTCAGGCGCTTGGATTGAGACCTCCAGAGGCTTCGCAAAAGGCCTCCGGGCCGCTTGGCAAGAGGCCTCCAGGAAGCTTGGTAGAAAACTCTAGGCTCTTGGCAAGAGGCCTCTATGTCGCTTGATAAGAGACCTTCAGGCCGTTTGGCACAAAACCTCACGCTCTTGGAACGAAACCTTCGGGCCGTTTGGCGAGAGGCCTCGATGTCGCTTGGCACGAAGCCTCCAGGCGTTTGGTATGAGGCTACCAGGCCGCTTGGCATAAGGCCTCACAAGGCGCTTGGTAAGAGACCTCCAGGCCGCTTGGCACGATACCTCCAGGCGCTTGGCAAAGGGCCTCTGGGCGTTTGGCACGAGGCCTCCAGGCCGCATGTGACTTGCTCTTACAAACGGTATACGACACATTGTTTAGTGAAGTGTGAATACCTCCTAATTGACATCAAGTAAGTTAAAGGAAATTGGTTCTTATTAATTTGTGTTAAAATTCAAGTTTGTTCAAACATAAACCTATTATCTGAAAGACCTAAATGTACGTGTATTTTTGTTAATAAATGGATTTGAATTTGAAATCATGTGCAAAAAGGAGGTATTGATACTTCACCGTTATGTTTTTTGCACTTGACGAAAATAATATCATAGCTAATAGTATTTATTTATTATGGATTCAATAGAAGGTAGTATCAAAACAAATAGTTATTTGGAGTAACTGACTTAGAGTATTGTATTACAAAATTGAATTAATGAAGTTTACTGCATTATTTTCGTCAAATACAGTTACGGAGACAAAATAATTAAAAACACTGACATTTCACACATGTTCGCATTGTTTATGGCAATCGGTCTCGCTCGCACATGTATTGCTTTCCTTTTCTACCCTTCGATATCAATAATTTCATTGTACGTCATCGATTTGTCTATGGATTTACGTGATAAGTTTGTATTTTTATGAACATTATGCATACTTTTGAGGCAATATGTTATAATAATGTGTATTATCTGTTTTAGAGTAAAAACAAAAAGATTTAAGGTGTAACATACACTTTTATTGTTTTAATCATTCTTCTTCATAGTTATTTATGGATTTGAAAAGTTCTCTCCCACCGAATATAAATTTCATTCTGAATCATTCAACTCAATCGGACTACAGATGAGAATATAATACTTTAACTCTTTACGCGTATATTCATACATTCTAACTATAACCTTGTATTTCAAGCTCATCGAATTCCGGTAACGTCACAAAACAAAAACCAAGAACTGCAAACGAACAATCACAATAATCACTTCGGGGCTTACGGCTAACTTAATCACATCACATTGAGCAAATCACATGGGCGGGGCGGGGCCGGCCTCAGTCGATGACGTAGGGCGGGGCCGGGTCGTCAGTCGATGACGTAGGGCGGGGCCGGGTCGTCAGTCGATGACGTAGGGCGGGGCCGGGCCGTCAGTCGATGACGTAGGGCGGGGCCGGGCCGTCAGTCGACGACGTAGGGCGGGGCCGGGCCGTCAGTCGATGACGTAGGGCGGGGCCGGGCCGTCAGTCGATGACGACATAAGGCAGCGCCACCAGGCCCCCCAGTCGAGCACACTCGTGCCACTCGGCGAAGCGTCGCGGGCGCACCGGCCTCCCCAATTCGTCCCTTTCATCCTCCCTCTCCGCTTCCAATTCATTATCCACCATCGCCTGGGCCTCCTCCTCATTGTCCACTCCTACAGGCAGCGTTATCTCCGGAGCTGTTCTTAACTGCGCGTAATCGTAGGGTATTGAATCGATCGCGCGGCGACACTGGTCGTACAACGCGCGACCGTCTAACTCGGGCTCTTCTTTCGTCTTCTCGACGGTTCTGTGTGCGGGGGGCTGGTTGGCTGGCGGGGGGCAGGCCGGGGGGTCGGGGGCCGCGGGGGCCTCGTCGGGGGCCAGCAGAGGGGCCTTCAGCCGCTCGCTCGGCTCTAAGGGCGGAGCGCCCACCGCTTCCGGCTCGATCTTGATCGACTCGTACTTTATTGGCGAGGTCTCCTCCTGTGAACAGAATGAAGGTTTAGGAGCGCGATACACTACAACAGGCAGTTGATGGGTATAATATGGTTTGCCTACCTGGCGAAAGTGACAATTGAAGGGGCTAACAAAATGAGTTATGAGTGTTTGAAAATGTTAATCTGCTCATACCACATTTGAATCCTGAAATGTATGAATGCTAGTCAGATAACACCTTTGTTAAGGTTTGACACGTAACAAAATTGCGTGTTTTGAGCTCATTAGTCGATTTTCTCATCACTTAAAACCTATGTTCATGCAAAAAAGTCGATTCTTCAGTTTTGTCAGATAACACCTTTGTCCACTCACCCCTTCAATTCATAAGCGCCAAATGAAATAAATAATTAAGCGCCAAATATTGGTCAAAATTTAGTAAATTCATTTTCATTGGTGTTCATGACAGTATCTTACTGGAAGTATGCCTCAACTGGTCACGTCTAGCGGTGTTTCAAATGAGTAAAACTATACAACACCTTATCAGGAATTTCAATGAAATTATTGCAAACAAGATGCGATCTCAGATATTATTTTTATACTGCTTAATGCACATAGGTTTCGCCAATGTTGAGTATTTAAAGAGACACGGTGAACAGTGGAAAAAAAATACAGGAGCAAACAAACAGTGTCACTTATAAGTGTCAATTTCTACAAAGTTATGACATAAAGCTAGCAATAGCAGCTAAAAATTTATCACCGAAAAAACATAACACTTTCAACTTACAAGAAGGCACTTCTCCGGACTGCGGTCGACGTCCATCTCCTCCCCCTCCCCTTTCCCCGGGGCATCGGGGTCGGGGTCGAGCGGGTAGGGCCGCGGCGGCGGCGGCGACGGCGGCGGCGGCGGCGACAGCGGCGGCGGCGCAAACGTACACATTGGTATGCTCTCGCAGATCGGCACCTGGTGATGTGATGTCGTCGATGTAGATGTTGTTATTGATAAGGTCGTAAGTCAAGGGAATATTAGTTTAAAAGGTATTTGAAGCTCTTGGCGCGTCTTGAGGTCCAAAAGGTAATGAAAAATGTTTACTTGCTATCACTGTTAAAAGGTTTAAGAGGAACATAGTCAATTTGTTACATGACACGTATAGGATAGTCACCCTACCCTATCGTATACTGTATCCAAAAAGGAGGTATTTTATTTTCGATAACATAACTGGTGGTTATACATATACCTACGTGGCACTGGACTAAATACTTACGTTTTCAAATGAAAAATGGGAATAGATTTATTAAGAAACGCTTCTGGCGCTTCTTTCCAATGGTACTTGCCATTTTTTGTTTCGAGACGCATGTAGGGTTTAAAAATGGAGTCTTTTCAGTCAATCATCATCGAGTCACCTTTGTTAAATTTTAATTTTTGATATTTTTAAGTTTCAAATCTTGGTCAACATTTCACTCCAGATCGGCTACGTTCTTTCACTTGAGCATACAACAAGTAGTACTTTAATAAAAGGTAAAAACTGTACCGACCTTGTACATGTTCTTAGCGCAGTAGTCGTCGGCGTAGTCGGAGTAGTTGTACAGCGGGACGACGGACGCGAACAGCGACGGGTCGTCCGCCCGCGCCGCCGCGCGCACCGCGAACTTGTGCGGGTACAGCGGAGCCCTGGAATACACAAAACAATAATTGTACACAGAAGACACAGTCATAGTTAAGATTAGGTGTAGTTCATTGTACTTTAGTTTAACTGGGCTTTTTTTGCACTGTGTGGGCCACTTTGCGTACTATTCCAACTAACGTTTTTTTTGTCGTCAGAAAAATACATTAATTTGTATACCCGGCAGCCGCGGAGGCAGCTAATGGGTTATGTTGGATTCTCCATGTCAAAATGGCAGGGGATACCCACTAAAAACCTTACGCTGTTCTCGGTGAGCTATATGAGTCGGAACTCGGGAACGCGGGACATCACTACACGCGTTTGCTTCAAGCATTTCTGCGTTCCCTGCTCGGCATTCGGCTCGTTTAGTGCGGAGCCCAAACCAGGGTAGGCGTCACACGCCTACAGCCTGAGAACGCTGACCTGTTGCCTGGGAAAGCGCGGCGACGGCTCCTCGTCGCACGTGCACTCGCTGTATACTCGCTTTTATAAGGCCCTACTCTACACCAAAAGGTCTAGCCAAGACTGCAGAACAGCCCCTCCCGCTCTCATCGACAGGAAGTCTACCTTTAGGCATATAAAACAAGAAAGTCGTAGCCAAAGAACACTTACAAGGCAGAGCATTTATCGTGCCGCGCAAGTTATGTATCGACGCCTCTTCATCGCAAATGTGTTCTCTCTCTCTCTAACAAAACCGAAGAGCGTAACAATGAAACTGACCTAGTGCCATTGACCCCAGGCAGGTAGGCGTGGTGTAGCGCCGTCACGTGGTGCGGCCTCACTCGCGAGGCGACGCCACCTCGCCGCACGTGCCGTCGCCATACTTGTACGGAAAGGGTACAAGTATGGCGGCACGTGCACTCGCTATACTTCTACCCTTTCCAGTTACACAAGAAGTATCCTCAAGAAGAACACTGACCTGGTGCCATTGACCCCAGGCAGGTAGGCGTGGTGTAGCGCCGTCACATGATGCGGCCTTACTCGCGCGCGACGCTTCTTCGCCGCACGTGCACTCGCTATACTTGTATCTTCTAGTAACACAAGAAGTACACTCAAGGTCGAAGAACACTGACCTGGTGCCGTTGACCCCAGGCAGGTAGGCGTGGTGTAGCGCCGTCACGTGGTGCGGCCTCACTCGCGCGGCGGCGGCGGCGGGACAGCGCGGCGACGGCTCCTCGCCGCACGTGCACTCGCTGTTTTCTCGCTCTTACTAGACCCACATTCTACCCAAGACTAAACAATAACCCCGCCTCTTATTGTTAAGGAGTCTACCCATAAACAAGAAAATCGCAGGACAAGAACACTAACCGAGCACTAAGGCATCATGCAGCGACGCCTCTTCACTGGTTCACTACTCTCGCTCCTTCTAGTATATAACTTAACTACCATACATCTATAAGAAGGTATAGTCTGGTCGCCGAGCACGTAGAATTTTGTCCAATGACCCCAAGCTACCCATCCTTATCGCTCGCGCGTAATTATATTGCTGTCGCGACTGTGCGACGGGCGCCCGCAGTGAGTGTGCGAGCGCAACAGCAACATAATTACACGCGAGCTATAAGGATGGGTAGCCTGGGGTCATTGGACAAAATTCTACGTGCTCAGAGACCGGGCTTTAGAAGAACACTGACCTGGTGCCATTGACCCCAGGCAGGTAGGCGTGGTGTAGCGCCGTCACGTGGTGCGGCCTCACTCGCGCGGCGACGCCTCTTTGCCGCACGTGCACTCGCTGTATTCTCGCTGTTACTACTCAAACTACCCTACGCTAGAACTGACCTGGTGCCATTGACCCCAGGCAGGTAGGCGTGGTGTAGCGCCGTCACGTGGTGCGGCCTCACTCGCGCGGCGACGCCTCTTTGCCGCACGTGCACTCGCTGTATTCTCGCTGTTACTACTCAAACTACCCTACGCTAGAACTGACCTGGTGCCATTGACCCCAGGCAGGTAGGCGTGGTGTAGCGCCGTCACGTGGTGCGGCCTCACTCGCGCGGCGGCGGCGGCGGGACAGCGCGGCGACGGCTCCTCGCCGCACGTGCACTCGCTGTTTTCTCGCTCTTACTAGACCCACATTCTACCCAAGACTAAACAATAACCCCGCCTCTTATTGTTAAGGAGTCTACCCATAAACAAGAAAATCGCAGGACAAGAACACTAACCGAGCACTAAGGCATCATGCAGCGACGCCTCTTCACTGGTTCACTACTCTCGCTCCTTCTAGTATATAACTTAACTACCATACATCTATAAGAAGGTATAGTCTGGTCGCCGAGCACGTAGAATTTTGTCCAATGACCCCAAGCTACCCATCCTTATCGCTCGCGCGTAATTATATTGCTGTCGCGACTGTGCGACGGGCGCCCGCAGTGAGTGTGCGAGCGCAACAGCAACATAATTACACGCGAGCTATAAGGATGGGTAGCCTGGGGTCATTGGACAAAATTCTACGTGCTCAGAGACCGGGCTTTAGAAGAAAACTGACCTGGTGCCATTGACCCCAGGCAGGTAGGCGTGGTGTAGCGCCGTCACGTGGTGCGGCCTCACTCGCGCGGCGACGCCTCTTTGCCGCACGTGCACTCGCTGTATTCTCGCTGTTACTACTCAAACTACCCTACGCTAGAACTGACCTGGTGCCATTGACCCCAGGCAGGTAGGCGTGGTGTAGCGCCGTCACGTGGTGCGGCCTCACTCGCGCGGCGACGCCTCTTTGCCGCACGTGCACTCGCTGTATTCTCGCTGTTACTACTCAAACTACCCTACGCTAGAACTGACCTGGTGCCATTGACCCCAGGCAGGTAGGCGTGGTGTAGCGCCGTCACGTGGTGCGGCCTCACTCGCGCGGCGGCGGCGGCGGGACAGCGCGGCGACGGCTCCTCGCCGCACGTGCACTCGCTGTATTCTCGCTGTTACTACTCAAACTACCCTACGCTAGAACTGACCTGGTGCCATTGACCCCAGGCAGGTAGGCGTGGTGTAGCGCCGTCACGTGGTGCGGCCTCACTCGCGCGGCGGCGGCGGTGGGACAGCACGGCGACGACTCCTCGCCGCACGTGCACTCGCTGTATTCTCGCTGTTACTACTCAAACTACCCAAGACTGAAGAACAGCCCTCCCCCCCTCTTATCGATAAGGAGTCTACCCACAAACAAGAAAATCGCAGGAAAAGAACACTAACCGAGCACTAAAGCATCATGCAGCGACACCTCTTCATTGGTTCAATACTGTCGCTCCTTCTAGTCTATAACTTAACTACCCTACATCCACAAGATGTGGCAAAGAAACTGACCTGGTGCCATTGACCCCAGGCAGGTAGGCGTGGTGTAGCGCCGTCACGTGGTGTGGCCTCACTCTCGCTATACTTGTACTCTTTCCAGTTACACAAGAAGTATACTGAAGGTATAGTCTGGTCGCCGAGCACGTAGAATTTTGTCCAATGACCCCAAGCTACCCATCCTTATCGCTCGCGCGTAATTATATTGCTGTCGCGACTGTGCGACGGGCGCCCGCAGTGAGTGTGCGAGCGCGATAGCAACATAATTACACGCGAACTATAAGGATGGGTAGCCTGGGGTCATTGGACGGGATTCTACGTGCTCACGGACCAGGCTTTAGAAGAACACTGACCTGGTGCCATTGACCCCAGGCAGGTAGGCGTGGTGTAGCGCCGTCACGTGGTGCGGCCTCACTCGCGCGGCGACGCCTCCTCGCCGCACGTGCACTCGCTATACTCTTGATCTTATTAGGCCCTAATCTACACCAAAAGACGGTCTAGCCAAGACTGAAGAACAGCACCTCCCGCTGCTCTTATCAACAGGAAGTCTACTCTCAGGCAAGAAAAACGCAAGAAAGTCGTAACAAAATAACACTTACAGGATAGGGCATTTATCGTGCCGCGCCAGATATGTATCGACGCCTCTTCATCGCAAATGTGTTATCTCTCGCTCTAACAAAACCGAAGAGCGTAACAAAGAAACTGACCTGGTGCCATTGACCCCAGGCAGGTAGGCGTGGTGTAGCGCCGTCACGTGGTGCGGCCTCACTCGCGCGGCGGCGGCGGTGGGACAGCACGGCGACGACTCCTCGCCGCACGTGCACTCGCTGTATTCTCGCTGTTACTACTCAAACTACCCAAGACTGAAGAACAGCCCTCCCCCCCTCTTATCGATAAGGAGTCTACCCACAAACAAGAATATCGCAGGACAAGAACACTAACCGAGCACTAAGGCATCATGCAGCGACGCCTCTTCACTGGTTCACTACTCTCGCTCCTTCTAGTATATAACTTAACTACCATACATCTATAAGAAGGTATAGTCTGGTCACCGAGCACGTAGAATTTTGTCCAATGACCCCAAGCTACCCATCCTTATCGCTCGCGCGTAATTATATTGCTGTCGCGACTGTGCGACGGGCGCCCGCAGTGAGTGTGCGAGCGCGACAGCGACATAATTACACGCGAGCTATAAGGATGGGTAGCCTGGGGTCATTGGACAAAATTCTACGTGCTCAGAGACCGGGCTTTAGAAGAACACTGACCTGGTGCCATTGACCCCAGGCAGGTAGGCGTGGTGTAGCGCCGTCACATGATGCGGCCTCACTCGCGCGGCGGCGGCGGCCTGAGTACTCACTATACTCGCACTCTTTCTAGTCTAACTACCCTACATCCACAAGGTGTGGTAAAGAAACTGACCTGGTGCCATTGACCCCAGGCAGGTAGGCGTGGTGTAGCGCCGTCACGTGGTGCGGCCTCACTCGCGCGCGACGCTTCTTCGCCGCACGTGCACTCGCTATACTTGTACCCTTTCTAGTGACACTAGAAGTACACTCAAGGTCGAACACTGACCTGGTGCCGTTGACCCCAGGCAGGTAGGCGTGGTGTAGCGCCGTCACGTGGTGCGGCCTCACTCGCGCGGCGGCGGCGGCGGGACAGCGCGGCGACGGCTCCTCGCCGCACGTGCACTCGCTGTATTCTCGCTCGTCTTCGAGCGGGACGAAGGGGGAGCCGGGCGGGGAGGGGGAGCCCCCGTTGCGGAGAGGGGAGTCCGCCTTGATGGGGCAGGCTGGAATAGAAAGTTGGGGTTTTGGTGGTGGTTTATAATGTTCAAAATGGTCAGATCATCATTATTAGGTTCTCTTTCATACACCACACAATAGTGAGTTTACTCTTTAAACTGCTGAAGAAGCCTCGTCCAAAATTCGTTAGGCTATTTGGAAAATAGTTAATAAATCCAAATCCTGGGTCATAGATCCAAAAACATATTTATTTTCTCCATAAATACAACATAAATGTTCAATCTTTAAGCTAAATTATGATGACATCACAATGAGACCACGTCTCAGCAAAGTTGGCTCCTTTGCTCAATATGATGAATACAAGAAAACAGTTGCCTGTGGAAAAGCCTTGAGATCTTGCTCAATGACATTCCTTTCTACATCCAACTGAGTGACATTATGTGGGCGAAGACTTACGTCCACCAGTGGATTGTTATTGGCTGTAATGATATGTAACTCCTTGGCTATGACTCTCAAGGGCCGAAATGATGTATAACTAACACCGTGGCTATGAATACAAGGTACAGTCAGCGTCAAATAGTTAGTGACACCCAAAGTAGTCAAAAAGTTCGCAACACGTCTTTGTTTCAATGAGGGCTATCGTTTTAGCGCTCACCAGTTGGCGCCACTGTAGAGTAAGGTCCTGTCACTTGCTAGTAGCGAAGACAGTGGCGCCAACTGGTGAGCGCTAAAGTGGTAGGAGGACTATCGCAATTGCACTCATCAAGATGGCGCCACTGTAGAGTAAGGTCCTGTCAATCGCCAGGGGTGCCAACTGTTAAGAATAAAAACGATAGCCCTCATTGGATTTGAATATTGTTACTTCCCAAAAATCTTTTACAAGACTAAGGTCAAGTTACGCCAGATCCAACCGTTACCGAATGTGTAACAAGGCTTGTTGAGATTGGATCTGCATTACTAATTTCATAGAAATCCAAAAAGTAGCTAGTCTGCATATCTGCCACGTCTTGAATACAACTACGTCTCGCCTTAAGTAGTATAGCAGCCAAAAGATACCTCACAGGTGCCCCTTTACTACCGACTACCGTTGGCTTAAATGACAAGTCATCATCATCATCATCATCATCATTTCAGCCATAGGACGTCCACTGCTGAACATAGGCCTTGTTGAGGCCAATTACTAAATTCTCAGTGCCGAAACTTCGCACAGAAAAAGGTACAACACTATTGTCTATGAACACACTTCAATTTACGAAACCTAACGTTCTTCTGTACAAATTTTTATCATCATCATGATTAGTACCATTAGTTTTCCGCAACATGGCGAGGGTTTTTATGTTCCTGGTCAGGCTATACAGATCCAATTAAATCCAATTAAATGGATTAAAATCAAGAAAGTTAGTTTCAATACTACATATTACACAAACAGGCCTCCCCCAATGATTTTCATGTTGCCCGGTTGGTCCAGCGTCCAGCGCCTTCCTGCTACCTTTATGATGTCGTCGGTCCACCTTGTGGCTATATTGACTGCGAGGGTACTCACGCGCCGGCTCCACGAGCATGACGTCGTTGTCAACGGACTCGGGCGGCGCGGCGGGCGCGGGCGCTGAGGCGCCGCGCGACTGGATCTCTTCTAACAACTCTTTAGTTGTTTTCACCTGCAAACATGTTTAAAATAACACTTCATACCACACATAACAATAAGATACATAAATAACACTATTGTACACCACACATAAAACGAAAAGAAACAAATACCTACATGAAAGAGACGCACAGTGTTTTAGAAACCCTCAAAATCGGACATGATTAAGTTAATGCCATGAGTCGATAGCGTCTTATGTTTCAATTACAAGAGTTCAACTCACGTGTGCTCATTTTACTTGGTTTATGAGAAAAAAATTGTGAAAGTTGGTCGTTTTTAAAATTCCTAAAAATGAAAAAAAAAAATTTTTTTATAATTAAGAGGGTTTGTAAACTTGTGATAAAGCTGATTCGATTGCTCATTAAAATACGCATGTATTGTACTTTATTTCATTTCTACAAGTCGTTCCAGAGATTTTAATTATTTTTCATTATTTAGACATTATTTTTTTCTTCCATCCTAAATGGAATCCGCAATTTTTTTTATTTTCGCCTAAACAATTTTTTATAGCAAATTTTTCATCGACGAATTTATTAAAATCAAAACTCACAAACCNTTGTCTCGCCTGTACCCGTTGCGATGGCGCTCGGAGGCCCCGTTACGCTCCAGTGGCCCCCGGGGTTTTATTAAAAAACACTCAATAAAACACTAACCTTCTTAGCCCCGGCCGGCGGCAGCTTGTTGACGAGCGCCGCGTACGGGTCGAGCTTGTCTCGTCTGTACCCGTTGCGGCGGCGCTCGGACGCCCCGTTGCGTCCCAGTGGCCCCCGGGGCTTTATTGAAATAAAAACTCAATTAAAACACTAACCTTCTTAGCCCCAGCCGGCGGCAGCTTGTTGACGAGCGCCGCGTACGGGTCCAGCTTGTCTCGTCTGTACCCGTTGCGGCGGCGCTCGGACGCCCCGTTGCCCCCCGGGGGCTTTATTGAAATAAAAACTCAATAAAATACTAACCTTCTTAGCCCCAGCCGGCGGAAGCTTGTTGACGAGCGCCGCGTACGGGTCGAGCTTGTCTCGTCTGTACCCGTTGCGACGACGCTCGGACGCCCCGTTGCGCGCGCCCCAGGGCCCCCCCGGGGCAGACGCAGCGGGGGCGGGGCTGGGCGGCGCGGGGGCAGGCGGGGCCCCCGGCGCTTCTGTGCCGGAGCCCGCTCGGCTGTGGCCCCTGCGGGTAGTTGGATATTGTGGTTATTAAAGTACCTTTATTTTGTGTTTCATAGAAAGTTTGTTGTTACATAATTTGTCAAAACTATTTAGCTGTAGCTGAAATTTTATCTAGACATAATAGCTTATTTATTATCCATTTAAAAAAAGTTTTAATAAACTAAAAGTGAAAATCTAAACTTGATGTGATAATAATATAAAAAAGTGTATAAATAAATATTGAACGGGTATTGATGAAGAAAATGCATTCCTATATTGTCTACAGATGATTTCACTTTTAAAGATATCGTAGACTTTTCGAAACGGGGCCCAAAGATATAATATTACCATAGTGCTTCAAGTCAAGTAAGTCATAGTGCTTTGATAGTCGACATTAATTTTATTATCAGACTTAGAAAAATAAAGAACGAAAGGTTCAAGTTCATTTCAAGAGTAAGAAGTTAAATGTTATAACTTTAAAAGTTGTACACAGAAGGAGTGTGGAATAGTTTAGCCAGGTTTACACATTTCTTAACAAATAAAGCCAGTAGAGGAGAAAATATAGACATGTTATTCGGTGACTTTACATTACGTATTTAATCACCTTTTTATACAAGCTGCTACTAATATATTTTTTAACTAAGTAGCTTTGTCCTATTTACTTCTGCTAGTGTAAACTTGGCTTGTAACATACCTTCTTCTCTTAGGTTTTTTGTCCCGTTTTGCTTTCTTCTCGTCGTGCAATCCCACGGGAGAAGTCGGCCTTTTTACAGCTAAAAAAGACAGTCACTGTTTAATGGAGATGGTGTTTTCTCTATTAAATTATCTTGATAACGTGCAGACTGTGATTATACCAAAACTAAACAAGCTACTAAGTAAGTTTTTTTCTATAATATTCTGGTCTGCGAGCATGTAGAATTTTGTCCAATGACCCCAAGCTACCCATCCTTATCGCTCGCGCGTAATTATATTGCTGTCTCAACTGTGTCCCGCAGTGAGTGTGCGAGCGCGACAGCAACATAATTACACGCGAGGATAAGGATGGGTAGCTTGGGGTCATTGGACAAAATTCTACATGCTCGCAGACCGGGCTTTAGTAAGAGCGATCTCATAAATTAGATTTGAATTTGTTTTGATTCATTCGTTCGTTTCAGTCAAATGACGTCCATTGCTGGACAAGGATTTCCTCAACGACCGGTCCTGCACTGGGGGCATCCAGGTTCTTCCAGCGACCTTCACCAGATCGTCGGTGCCTTTAGAATGTTATGTAAATCAGTCGAATCCAAATCCAATATACCAGACCGCTCTTAGGCAAAGTTGCACCATCTAACTCAACCATTACTGTAACGATAACCAATGTTCTTTCTATGGAGTTGGACAGTTGACGTTTGTTAAAGTACATAAGGCGGTGCAACACAACCTAAGGCTAGGTTGCAAGTCTGTCAAACTAAAAAAAAGACCGGTTATCATCATAGTTACGGTTAAAGTTAGATGCTGCAGCACAGCTTCAGAATACTCTGTACAGTGTCAATGTCGATGGGTGCCTGGAACAAAGCCGCAATAGCCATAGCAGCAGTTTTCCGATTAAGTGATTTTAGTAAACTGCGGGTCCCTATACACCTTTTGAATTTTTTTCAGAATTTTATCTTTGAAACTGCCTGATTTACCAAAAGCACTATGGATATTGAATCGTTATTCCCATTCACCATTTAAAATTTGTTGACCGGAATAATCGTGCCATATACAATGTTAAAACTTTCATTTAAATCTTCTACAAGCAAACGGCTATTACTGTATCCTTCAGATCAGCGCCCGAGGCTGCAATACACTATTGCTGTTTGATTAATTGCACACTTTTTACCGGAATAAAACCACAATGGACTCTTACGGAACCGACTTTCAATGTATGAAGCGGCAATATGTATTTCTACCTTTTTTAAAGTATATTCTAAGCACTATAACCTTATGCACATTCAATGTTACTCCAGAAAAAATAATGCATCGTTTGATATACAAACCGTTTTGATACGCCTCGTAGTTTAGAATTATTCAAAATTGACACTAAATCTCTTCTCCTGTAAAATTGTGTTTTGTCGATTGCGGCTTTGTTCCAGGCACCCATCGATGTGTAAGTTATAATATAAAAATATCTACTTAGTAAGTAGTACTTACGTGGCGTTAACGGCTTGTGCGGCGTAGTGGGCGGGGCGAGTGAAGTGGGCGGGGCCAGAAGAGGCGCGGGCGGCGGGTCGTCGTCCACCAGGATGACGTCCTGCGAGTCCGACTCGTAGCCGCCCCATGCTGCACAGAAATATGGTGTGAAATTGCGCCGTCTTACTTTTTTTTCCATCCACAACGAGGACGGATTAGCAAGCTGAAGTGGCAATGGGCAGGGCACATAGTACGCAGAACTGACGGCCGATGGGGCAGGTTCTGGAATGGAGGCCGCGTACCGGAAAAGGCAGCGTGGGACGTCCACCTACAAGGTGGACCGACGACATCGTAAAGGCAGCAGGGAAGCGCTGGACGCAGGCCGCTACCAATCGATCAACATGGAAAGCATTAGGGGAGGCCTATGTTCAGCAGTGGGACTTCCACTGCTGAACATAGGCCTCTATGGCTGAAATGATGAACGAGGAAGCTCTTGGCCTGTATCTCACCTGATGGTAAGTGACGATTAGGCCGAAGGTGGAAGCGAGCTTCACCCGGAATCCTCAACCACGGAGGAACTGGCTATCTTACCTCTAACTGCCGGAATACAACAATGCTGTTAACATTGTTGTTATGGCGACAGACTTAGGTAAGATGGTGGTAGCCAGGCGGACTTAGAACAAGCCCCACCACCAATCAAACCGAACAGAAAAATCTGCCCCCACTGGGAATCGAACCCGGGACCTCTGCGTCTGAAGCAGGTGGTCATACCACTAGACCACAGAGGCGGTAGATAGATAATAATATGGTGTAAATTACGCCATCTTTTAAACCTTTGTAGGGATTTGACACAGACCGATCCATTCGTAAAATGGTCACACTTATTCAAACTAAAAATTGAATTATTTTTTCAAAAATGGTTTATCTGAATGTGACCATTTTGCGAATGGGACCGTTTTTTAATTCGTGACGAAATGCGAATGGGACGGTCTGCGTCAAACCCCTTCATAGGGCTCCCAGGCGATAGAAGATTGACTTACCCGGACGCGACGGCGGTCGGGGACTATTGACTGCCGGGCTCACCACCTGTGGGCCAAAACAATACATGTCAATGTATACGTTGAAAGTTATTTACTCACGACCTTCTACTTAAAAATTGATAAAATTTAAGAAAGTAGAACTAAGAAGTTGAGGCAGTTTATTTAAATGTTTTAAACTAGGATGAAAATGAAACAAGTTTATAGAGGCAGATAAATAGAGAAATATTTTATAGAATGTGTAGATATTGTCATGTAGGATGCTTTAGCACCCATATTTTCATGAGCGAAATGTGGAAAAAAATATCTCTTTATTTGTTTCAAGGTAGAAGTTCTTTTTCTTAATAAACAGACCCGTACCACGAGCCCTACGAATTAAGTCGTCACTTAATGTTGCAATGCCTTGCATTTATTTATTGCCCTAATTATTTATTTCTAAAAAGTAATTAGTCAAATCAAAGCCAACGACTTTATGACGGTAATACAATTTCGCCACCAGTCGTTAGTCGCAAGCGCCATCTTAGCCAATTATTATAATAATGATGATGATGATGACGTCACTCACCCTGGACAGCGCGGGCGAGGTGAGCGGTGTGCCCCCAAGGCGGCGCATCTGTCGCTCCGCCGACGACCGGTTCGAACCTGAAGGGAGTGACGTAAGTTGAATTAAAGTACGCATAACTATGGTAGAAGGTGCTACTAAAGCCTGGTCCATGAGCACGTAGAATCCCGTCCAATGACCCTAGCTACCCATCCCTATCGCACGCGCGTAACAACATAATTACGGGGTCATTGGACGGGATTCTACGTGCTCATTGACCAGGCTTTAGTACAATAAAATTAGGCCGCAAAAAGTCTACGCAATGGATGTTTTTTCTATTTTAAATTAAATTATTTTGTGATTTTAATCATACTTTGAGCGACTTGCAACATTGATGACCCTTGAAGGTTTGCATTTTTGGGCACTAGATGGAGCAGTGTTAATATTGCCTCTAATTTGAGGGCACCTTTAACATTTTTATAAGTTTTGTCATTTTTCTTGCACGGTGGTGCAAGAGGGCAGACCTCTTTTCGTAATGTTTAGGAGGCGTTTAACTCTCTTCATACTTTTTTTATGGATAACAAGGCAGTTATTTGACCACAATCGCACCTGATGTTAAGTGGGATGTAGTCTAGGATGGTACATATCTGCCCTATAAGAGCCTATTCACTCTCGCCTTGAAAAGGCCCGAATTATAGTCTTCGGGAAAGATAGACGTCTGGCCAGCTTGGCGAGTGTATGCCAAATCCTTCATTTGCTTCTAGTAGTCTTGACTTGTAGCTACAGTGAAGACAACAAATGTAAGCTTACCACGGGACTATTCCCACCTCTCGTTCCCACCGCTGCAACTCTTGTGTATCCAGAATCTACAGCTTGACCGCCATAAAAACCCAACCAATGAAGATCAAGTTTGTCCCGGGGGAAAGTTAAATTGTCATAGGAGGTCGCTTACCAGTGTGTCCCGGCGAAGCGACGGTCATAGGAGGTCTCTTACCAGTGTGTCCCGGCGAAGCGACGGTCATAGGGGGTTGCTTACCAGTGTGTCCCGGCGAAGCGACGGTCATAGGAGGTCGCTTACCAGGTGTTCCGGCGAAGCGACGGTCATAGGAGGTCGCTTACCAGTGTGTCCCGGCGAAACGACGGTCATAGGAGGTCACTTACCAGTGTGTCCCGGCGAAGCGACGGTCATAGGGGGTTTCTTACCAGTGTGTCCCGGCGAAGCGACGGTCATAGGGGGTTTCTTACCAGTGTGTCCCGGCTCAGCGACGGTCATAGAGGGTTTCTTACCAGTGTGTCCCGGCTCAGCGACGGTCATAGGGGGTTTCTTACCAGTGTGTCCCGGCTCAGCGACGGTCATAGGAGGTAGCTTACCAGTGTGTCCCGGCTCAGCGACGGTCATAGGGGCTTTCTTACCAGTGTGTCCCGGCGAAGCAACGGTTGGGATGACAAGGTCTCGCCAGCGCTTCACCAACACCTTGGCGCGGCGCGCGAGCGTCGGGTCTGTGGTCTTCCGTCTTAACTCGTTCACATGCTTGCCGAGTCTGGTGGTCTGGAAGAATTTGGGAAAACAATACAGGAGCTGAAGAAATATGGGCTTTATGACGAGGCTTTGAGGGTTTATTTTGCTAGGAGTAATAAAAAAAATCGTATCCAAATCACTTCACTATAAACTAGCCTCTCTTTATTGCAAAAGGCTGATAAGTTACGAGTCACAAGAGCAAAAGGCAGGCATGTAGAAAATGAATCATATTATTACTAGTAAAATAATATTATCGGAAACCAAACCTAATATGTTTGGCAAATATTTGTTAAGAAGAAGTGAACTAGAAAGTTATCTTTAATTTTTGCTTTTGTCCACTAGTGTGTGTGACTAGCATTGAACCCAAAGACAAATTGAGTAATTTTAAGTTATTAAATAATTCTCATGTCATGTCTTTTACTGGAATCTTAAATCTCAAAAAAATCAAGTCAGTTTAGCATGACAGTAAAAACATTATCTAAATTCGTTTCTCCATGATTGAGTACTCAACATTCAAACTTTCACATTTACAATATAAAAAATAAAAATGTTTTATTAACCACTTAAACTATAAGTAGCCAAATAATATCTGTTCAATAATGTAAATTGGGATACTAACAAAATAATAAAACTGTTTAACATCGTAACGGAAGCGCTTGTTATTATTTATTTACTAGCTTTTGCCCGCGACTTCACCCCATGTGAAATTTAGTTTGTCACAGATCGTCATAAATTATAGCCTTATGTTATTCTGGGTGATAAACAATAATACTGTAAAGTTTCATCAAAATCTGTTCAGTAGTTTTTGCGTGAAAGAGTAAGACCCATAACAGACGGTGAAACGCAACTGCAACGAAACTGCAACTTTGTGATGATTCTGATGAATGAAACTGAAACTGATAGTTTCAAACTGGTCGTGTCTTGTGTGGTCTCTTAACGGACACTATGGCAGAAACTTAGATGCAACTCAAAAGTAACTAGCAGTTACAGTTTCGTTGCAGTTGCGGTTCACCGTCTGTTCTGGGCCTAACCAACATCTAGACATTAATACAAACTTTCGCCTTTATAATATTAGTAGGATATTTAACTCACCTCCAGCAACTCTTTTGTGATATTGAATTTCTCCAAAATGGAAATGATTTCATTGACGGCCTGCATGTCGACAACCTGAAATTAATTAATCCAAAATTAGTTCGGTAAAATTAAATTAATTAAAGACAAAATATGCCCTATAAAAGGAGTACCAAATAAGGGAATTAGTAACATTATAACACTTAAATATGCACCTATTTACTCGATGAGGCTAAGTGCCACTTGTATGCCCTGCAAAAACAACTAAGCACCTATTTACTATAGGTGTTATAGACAGCTCACAATACAGAGGATGCATGGTAGCAGAAGAATCGTCACAGCACATGCTCATATAATGCAAGAGTAAGACAGAGCAATGTGCTCAAATCAATAAAATATTATCATAATCTGTATTACACAGACACACATAATATGTTTGTATTACAAACTAGCTGACCCGGCGAACTCTGTTCCGCCTTAAAGGCAATAAATAAGCCATCACAATTTTTCCTTATTTGCTCACCGTTTAGACCTACCCTGGACTACGACAAACATTTAAAACCAAAATCAGCTAAATCGGCCCAGCCGTTCTCGAGTTTTAATCAGACTAATGAACATCAATTCATTTTTATTTATATAGAAGAAGATAGAAGATAATATCACAATTACTAAAAAAATACATAGTTTATTTGCTAATATACCACCTCTATTAATTTAAGAACTTGTAACTTGCAAAGAGATACCTAATAAATAAATACTAGATAGTAAAGAAAAACAGAAAAAGAACTAGCGCCTAAAATCGCAATAGTTAACTTAAAATAACACCAAGTAGCTAATTATGTTGTTAATCTAGCTCCGTGCTGTAGAAATGTAATATTACAATACCAAACATCAACAAAAAACAATTTCCAACAAAATTCTACTTGCATTTTTCATTCATTTTATGGTTGCAACACTTTTACGATCACAATCAATTCAGTGAAGTGAAATCATTGTAAGAGTAAAAATAATATAAGAGTACACTTCCTACTATTGTGATTCACTTTCAGGTGGGCATTTTAAGGGTCAATGTTACCAAATGGAGTAGGGACAATTTAGGGTTAAATAACGACTATTAAATTACTCTAAAAGGGAAGGCACAGGAGTAGCCAAAATGATTTAAGATAAAGGCAATAATCCGTTATAAAAAATTGGTCAATGACCCAGCAGTTTAAACGCTTGAACATGCATTCATAGCTATAAATAGAATGAGAATATTCTAGAGAAAATATCAAATATCTATACATAATAAATCTGTAGAGAGGTCAATTCTGTACATGAAATATATTTTCAAAATAACTATCAGGGGGTGATTAGTGATCGATACTGATGCCAAAAATGCAATCAGAAAAAATTTTGTCTGTTTGTCTGTCTGTCCGTCTGTATGTTCCTTATAGAAACAAAAACTACTTGACGGATTTTAACGAAACTTTGTACAATTACTCTTCATACTCCTGGGCAGGTTATAGTATACTTAGGAATTCCCACGGGAACAGGAATAAGCGGGAAAATCCTTATGTATGAAAAATCTAAACCGCTTAAGTTAGACGCTTGAAATTTGCTATGTAGGTACCTTAATAAACTTAAAGCTTAGTTACAACAAGGAATTCCCGAAATTCCCACGGGGACGGGAATTAGCGGGAAAATCCTTTTTATGAGAAATCTAAACCGCTTAAGTTAGACGCTTGAAATTTGGCATGCAGGTACCTTAGTAAAATTAAAGCTTAGTTACATAAGGATATTGCAAAATTCCCACGGGAACGGGAGTTAGTGGGAAAAAACATTTGTACGAAAAAATCTAAACCGCGTAAGATAAATGAAGGGGTTAAAACGGGATCCACGCGTACGAAGTCGCGGGCGGCCGCTAGTTGGAAATAAATGCAAGACAGTAATTCATCACACAAATTGGTTACTACTTCTCTGTTCATAATGTGTATTATTTTGCACTACAAAATATAGGGTGTAAGAACAGGAGCAGTAATCATGCTAGATAACACCTTACACAAGAATTCATTTAAATAATATTTCTAATAATGGATTGTAATGTCCAATGTAGTATTTATAACCATTTTCTTGCAAAACTATCTTTTAGTGTGTGTCCTAATTAAGTTTAAACCACTAAAAAACCTTCTTGAAGACCAGGGCCGGACTGTGAGTTTAAGGGCCCACCTACTATACTCTTTCGCATTATCATCTATTTTTGGCTTTGACTTGACTTAGCTGGGGGGCCCTTGATCCCACGGGGCCATATGGCATTGTTGTCTTCAGCCCAGGGCTGAAGACAACAATGCCATATGGCAGATCCGGCCCTGTTGAAGACATACTGTAAGAGAACCACACAAACTAACTTGCAGGGAACCTAATTGAAGGTAGTAGGACGGACAGATGACGGCATAATATCCCTTTCTTTTGAACGTAAATAAATCCAATATAGTTAAGTTCAATGGGCTTATAACTCAATTTAATTTAACTATTCATAAAAGCAACAAGTTCTAAAAAGGCTAACGCATAGACTATCCCTAACAGGCCTAACATCAACCTCTTGCATTAAAATCTTTTTTAGTTTCCATATAATTTTTCTATCTATTATAATCTCTAACTCCGATAACATGAAAATGCAGCTGTAATTTGTGATATTTTTCTATAACACCTGAGTCAACTTATATTTGGTAATTTGTAACCATAAAGCTGTGAATGGTGGTGATAAAAATTATACTATTCCGTTCAAGTTCAATGCCCTTTAAAATAAGACAAGTAGACAAATAAAACTTAGGTTAAAACCTGTATCGAACTAGCTACATTGTAGCCAATGAGGTATTTTGCCAGCAGGTTATTCTATGTGAGCCTATAAAACTTAATTCCCATAAGACAACCATAGTTTACATATCTTAGAGTGCTAGGATAATGAAATAGTCTAAAACTTTAAAAAAAATTGTAAGAACAGATGGCTAAAACTACAGCAATTTTTATCTACTTTGCATAATACTGTAGCAAGTTCACATTGACCATGTGGTCTTTTTCAATACATCCCAAATGACCATACAATTCTGAAGGAATAAGAACATACTCCAATTCAAGTCCTAACCTCTTTGAAAAGGAATTCCAAATATTCTAATAGATGTTGTAATCTTAATTTTAAGAAAAATAACAGCAAATACAATAGAATAGTTTAGATTGTACTATTCTGTTGTAGTAATAGTACCCAAGTTATCTAGTTAAGCTTTGCAAATAGATGAAGTATCAATATCAGGAATGGAAAAGTAGGGCTCAAAAAAAGTACCATAGCAACATACCAATGCCTTCAAAAATAGCACGAACTCGCTAACTGTTGCGAAAACTGAATTGGCCTGAGGTTGCACAACCAAAAACGGTTTTAGTGCCACTGAAATATCACCAATCTGGAACCGTCAGATCCCATACAAGCTCGATCTGCCCGCACGAGGTCTCCTCTGCGGCTAACAGCTAATATAAGTACTCACGTAAGGTCAAAAGGTACAAAAAACGCATTTTCGTTGGATCCCCGACGCCGTCTCATATCACCGAGAAAATCTACGGGAAAGGTCACGCGTGGCACAATTCCATACTTTCACATTGCAAAACATTTGGCACTAAGGACGGAGGGACGACGGGCGGCTGGCGACGTCAGTGGCCCCACAGCCCGCACAGCTCACGTACCCACCACGACACCACATTTCCACGCGTATCTTCGCACTAAACCAGAAACTTTTACTTGCACGGGCACCGACTTGCCCAATTAGAGGCACATGACACCAGGAAACTGAAGAGCCAACCTCCCAAGTGGCCAAATCGCAACATCGAATCGGGTGTCACAGGCTCGTGGGGACCGTTTTCATATCTCAGCTTCGCTTATCAGCTTTATGATCTTTAAAACTCGCAAACTTACATTGTAATTGTTATCCAACGCATTCAGAAGTCGATTACTTAGATCATGAGCGTTATTACTCATTTATAAACCAAAATATTTAACTAAATACGACGAACGTGTCTCGGCTGCGTCGTAATGGCGGACCGACGACTACGTATGCCCGTGCCAGGGCATTTTAGCCGAATAATTCAGCTGATAACTACTGAGGCGACGCACACTCGTGTTTTTCCGTTTCTTTTGACGGAACAACTTTATTTTGGCATCAGTATGCACTAGATGGCGCTATAATCTTTATGTATAAAATATGTTTTCGTGGTTAAATTTACGTAAATGTGATTGTATTCTTTATAAATAATAACTTAATGAACATTACAATGCAAACAAATTCAAATTTCTTTCAATTTGAAGAAAAAAATCTATTTACAATATTTCTGTTCCTGGCAACATATTCATCATTAAACTTTCGAAAATAGCAACATTTTTAGTAAGTTTGACACATACGTCAATAGATGTCGCTATTTAGATGTAAAAACAAAGACAAAAAATATTGCTGTCTCGCTTGTTTTTATCCAGTATTACCAATAATAAAATAATATAATTGGAAATGGGAAAAAGCACAAGTTGGTAACCTATCATTTTCAAAAACATACAATACCGTTCCGGGTAATCGGTCGTGCAACAAGAGTTGAGGCCATGAATTTAAGCAAAGAGATTTATAACTGTATACGCTGTCTGTGTCGACGTCTTGCATAGTTGAAATGAGTGCTTTTTGTCTCGTGATCAAGAGTGAGGTAGCGAGTTAATTCGGGTTTCCAGCGCGTATTATGTATGCCCGACACAATCAACAAAAATATTTCAACATTCAACAAAATTACCCACAATAATGTTGAATGTTGACATGTTTTTGTTGATGATGTTTGTATTTTTTATTCAAATATTTCACACGTATTCGACAGTTTCGCCTCAACTTTCGTTCAGTGACTTATAAATAACTTAGTTACAATAAATAACTCTACTTACACTCAATTTATTTTAATAAATCAATAAGTAAATTTTTAACCGCCAGCATGACTGCCATTAAAACCATAAAACATTAATTTTTTACGGCAGGAAATGCTTTGCATAAACCTATATACCTACCCACTTGGCTGGCTGGTGGGAACGTCTGGTCTACGAGCACGTAGAATTTTGTCCAATGACCCCAAGCTACCCATCCTTATCGCTCGCGCGTAATTGTTTCTGTTGCGCTCGCACACTCACTGCGAGCGCCCGTTGCACAGTTGCGACAGGCCAGCAATTTAATTACGCGCGAGCGATAAGAATGGGTAGCTTGGGGTCATTGGACAAAATTCTACGTGCTCACAGACCGGGCTTTAGTGGGTTATGTGAATGTGGGACCCTCCTAAAGGAGCCAAGCTGAATCAGAAACTTTGACTTTTATACTTACTGTTGCTTGTGATTGCGCTAATGTGTAATGTCTCCAATTCATTCGCGTTTCATCTCCAGTCGCATGCGACTGGCACTTCATTTTCATTCCAGCTGATGTGCAATTCGGTATCATGGTAAAGTTCACGCGCTAATGAAGATGAAACAACAGATTTATGCACTTTCCAATAAAAGTCCGAACATGTAATTTTTTAAACTAAAATTACTAAAACACAGCAGCACTAGTGGTTTTTAAAGCTATCTATAATGTAATTGTCTCAATGTAACTGTCTTTAAGTTGTTAAATAAATTTAAAAAAAAAAGATACGTGAAGCATTTGCCCGCGTTTGAAAAAAAGTTACTTTTTGTTAGCAAAAGCTAATAACGTAAAGGTCCAGTTGCGCTTAAGATTCAGTTCACGTTCCAGCTTCGTTTGAACTAGTTGTCAAAACGGTACCGCGGATACGGATTTGTCAAAAAGCTGATTTTGGTTGCGTCGTCCAATAGCGTCTTAGTTGAAATTTTTAGCGCAATCGATGATGAACCAGATGAGCTCAGCAACCATAATTTGTTTATTTATTTATTTATTTATTTATTTATTTATTTATTTAATTAGGACAACCAACAAGACAGACACAAATTCAAGCAAAGGGGTTTACATACATAATTTTGTCTTAGGACTAGGTGCTATCTTAATTACAGGCTGCCACGGCATGCAAAAGTGGACTTTGACAGAATATTAAACTTAAACGTACAGCTGATTTTGACACAATATTCAATTTAATTTAATTTATTTCCATTCTGAACAATTTTAAACCTCAAATTTAACTGGCAGATCTTGGCTAAACGGACACATGTGCAAATGAGAGTTGTATTTTTTTCTTAAATTTCCCCAGCGAGTCAGAAAAGATATCTATATCTCCCTCCTTACTGCACCTATTATATTGCCTCTGAAGCCTATTCATGGTGGCATGATGACCCAGGTTGCTTTTGGAACCCTGCACTAAAAAGGGTACGTATCTTGCGCGTCGAGGTAACTTGAAAGGGGCATTTAGGTTGATGGATTCCAACAACTTTGGACAGTCCACCACGCCGTTTATGATCTTGTGCAGAAGTATCTGATCCAAGAGTTGTCTGCGATCTTGCAAGCTGTGCAGTCCGAAATGAGCCAAACGTTCCCCATACTTCGGAAGACTCCTGGCCTTCCCGGTCTGATATGAGAGATGCCACATGAACCGCTTCTGGATGCGCTCAATTCGCTTCACATGAACATCATAGTGAGGAGACCAAACCTGACTACAGTACTCAAGACCTGAACGAACAAGAGTCACGTACAGCAGTATTTTAGAGGAAGACTTTTTAAATTCCTTTGCGTTTCGCAATACAAAACCAAGCATCCTAAACCCTCTTGTGACGACATGATCGATATGCTTGTGAAAGCGCAGGTTCTTATCCATAATGACCCCCAGGTCGCGAATCGACTCCACTTCCTGCAAAATTTGCCCGTTGACACTGTATACCGGCGATGGACTTTCCCTACTTCTCGTGAAACGAATAAATTTACATTTCTCCGTGTTTAGGTACAATTTATTTAAACTACACCACTGAGACAACCTATCAAGATCTTTTTGCAAAAGATGTGAGTCGCTAACATCTTTGATCTGCATACAGAGTTTCATGTCGTCTGCATAAAGGAAGCAAGAGGCATGGTCGAACACTGTAGTCATGTCGTTTACAAATATATTAAAGAGTATTGGCCCAAGATGCGAACCCTGCGGCACTCCTGAAGTAGCATGAAACGACTCCGATGAGAAACCTCTCATGACGACTCTTGACTCCCGCTGTCCGAGATATGATTCAAACCACTCAAGAAGACTGCCAGTAATGCCAAAGTTAGATAGTTTATTTAGTAAAATTTTGTGATCGACTGTGTCAAAAGCTTTGCTTATGTCAGTGTAGATAGTATCGACCGGGATACGGGAGTCGAGAGACCCAGCAACCAGTTGGACAAACGGGATGAGATTTGTTGCAGTGGAACGTGATACCATGAAGCCAGATTGCTGAGGTGAAATCAAGTGTTTTATGTGGCACGATAAATAAGGGCAGACTAAGGACTCGAATACCTTGCTAAAAACTGACAGTATAGAGATGGGTCGGTAGTTTTTCACAGAAGCAGCGTCACCGGACTTGAAAATCGGAATGATTCTTGCTTCCTTCCAGATAGAGGGAAATACTCCCGTGGACAGAGAAGCGTTAAATATGATGGTCAACGGCAAAGACAAACAGTCGTAGCATTGGGCCGCAAACAAAGAAGGAATGCCGTCGGGACCTGCACCTTTAGTTCTATCTAAATATTTCAAATTATATTTAACTTCCCTTTGGCTCAAAGATAGGCGTCCGAAGGAACCCGAGTTAATATTTTGTATCCCAACCATGGTGTTATGGGGCAAACTTGGTCTGTATACAGATGCGAAGAAGGACGCAAAGAGATTGCAGATCCCAGTCCCACTGGACTCCTCCCTGACATCAGATCTCATAGTAGAAGGATAGGGATTACTGTTTACTTTTTTACCTTTCAGAAAGGTCCAGAATCTTTTGGGGTTGGTTGATAGTGAGTCCTCGATTTTGGAAATGTAACTATGATAGCAGGAGTCGATCATGTCCGAACATCGTTTTTTTAATGTTTTAAAGGCTAGCTCATCTAAGGGGTTTTTATACTTTTGATAATTTAATCTGAGTTTATATTTTTCGCGTATGAGGCGAATCAGATCCTTAGTGTACCAAGGGGGAAACTTCTTCGTGGCAGGCTTACATTTGGGGACGTGCGTAGAGATAGCTTCCTTCAAAATACTGTAAAACTTATCTGTCATTTCATCGACAGAGTTGCAAGCTGCCAGATTGCCCTCCCATGGAATTGAATTTAAATATGACTTAATTTTGGTAATGTCCGCTTTAAAAAAGTTTGGTCTTTCCGAGATGGTGCATGAAGACATAGTAGCAGAGTTACTAATAGACACTTCAAACTCAAGAGGCGGGTGATACTGGTCAATATTTGTAAGCAATGAACTACAGCGTAAAACATTCAAAGGACCAAGATTAGAGAGAACCAAATCCAAAATCTTGCACTTATCATTTATAACCATGTTGTGTTGCTTCAAATTATTCAGAGCCAAAAAATCAAGCAGGGCAATTTCCAAAGGGGGTTTTAGTTGATTAGCAGAGGGCTTAGTTTCATCGGTCCAATCTATGCAGCTGAGATTAAAGTCCCCGAGAATTAATGTATTCGAGCTTGATTCTAAGACTCTGTTAGTGTTATCTAAGAAGTGGTCTAATATACTTTTATTAATTGGAGGTGGAAGGTACACACTGCAGATTAAAAGTTTGCTGACAGTTTTTTTATCCTTAGAAATGGTTAATTCTATCCAAAGATCCTCGCATTGGCTCTCGAACCGATGCATCCGGAGGGAATGCAGACGCTTGGTCACAGCAATGAGTACCCCACCACCCGATTTGTGCCTATGAAAACCGCTAGTTTCGCGATCCCGCCTGTATACCACGAATCGATCGTCCAAAATTTCTGAGTCAAATATTGTGCTATTTAGCCAAGTCTCGCACATAACTAAGATATCATAGTCACAGCCAATTACACTTTTATATAACTCAGTTGTCTTCGTTCGAAGACCCCTAACATTTTGAAAATATATATTTGTTTGTTTGTTTGTTTGAAATGTTTTACTCAAAAATATATTCAGGGATACCAATTAACGTTTATGCCTTTGC